AGTCACGGTACTTGACCTAACTTCGCCCCTTGGCTTAACGGACACTTGCCCCTCTCGCGTAAAGCGAACAATTTTTTATTGCTTCTAATTTGCTCAGCTCTGCGTTGTGGCAATTTAGGACACTCGTCGCTTGCCACCAACCACTGCAACAGCAACAGCAACAGCAACACTAACAGCAACAGCAGCCGGCCAATTAAATATGAAACATTTTTGGTTGGTCTGATGAAATGCCAGGAACTGTTTTAAATTAAATTTAATTAGTTTATTGTCTGAGGCAACACCTTTCCGGCTAACAAGCAGAGCAACAGACAACCGAAAAGGAACAGCAAACAGCAACAGCAACAGCAACAACAACTCAAGCCCAAAGGACTTTTTGTCGTGTGCCAAGTGGCAGCTGCAACAGGCTCCATCGGCCGCCTACGTCGCCAACGTTGCACAGCAATCAGAATCGAAATGGGGAACAGCGTCACGGTCCAAATTCAACTGCTCTTAGCTCTGCGTCCTGCAGGCTCCATCTCAAGTTGATTCATTTGCGCCTCGCTCGTCAAGTTTATAATTTGGTTAAAAAATTCCTTTAGAAAGGTTGAAATGAGATCTATTTCAAATCATTTCTCTTCCTCTAGACAAAAGGTTTGCCAAATTGCAAATTAAATCAGCAAATGGAATGATTCTGATTTCGAATGAACATTTCGAAATTAATTCATATAATGCATAAACATTCTATAAAGTTTAAGCAATATATAAATTCATTTTGAAATATTAATTTTCTTACCGATCATCTCATGAAATTCATTCCGATTTTCATTCTTCTTTATCCTTGATAGTATATAATTTGATCATTAACTCGAATGTGTCATGGCTGTTATAGTTTGAAGTCTTCGATCTCTATATAGTAAAGGTATATTTTCGAGCCGAATAACTAATGAAATATCGAGGCTTATCTGTGTTGAAACATATGATTCAATTTCGTTGAAGCAAACGTTATTATGTTTATTTACAAAAGTTCCGATTCAAATGAATCCATGCGAAAAGATAACTCTTGATTCAACCTGTTTAATAATACCAGGATTTAATTTACAAAGATAAGAATTTGATAAATATCCCTATTTAGTAGACTTTTCAAAAATCTTTCTTGTGAACTACAGCCAGAATCAAATTCGGGATCAGCATTATTAAATACAAATTTTTGAATGGGTTTAGCTCAGTCAAATTTAGTTAGTTGTTTGAACTAGCATATGAATAGCTTGAAATTTCTATATAATTTTGTTTTCCCTAGAGTTTCACGTTTTGTTTTTCAAGGATGGTATAGTGGTAGTAGATTATAATCCAATCATGATATGACAATGTGTATATTATATTTTTCTAGAGCTATTGATTATATTTAGACTTGTGGCGTACCTGTTGGTTCCGCAATTCTCTTGGGGGTTACAAAACTGCTGCGCTCAGTGCTCAGTTGTACACGTATTGTCTGCAGCACATATATATACACATAAATGTATATGTATATATATGGTGTGTGAGTGTGTAAGTGTGTATGTGTACTTGTGTGGGGTCTTCTATGTGCTCATATTGGTTAGATTGGATGGGATTATTGCTTGACTGGCAACTGCAACTGCAACTGCATTCAGCTGAATATTGGAAAAGAACTGAGCTATGTGCAGGGCGGAGCTGCACTCATCTGAAAAGGTAACAAGAAATCGTTGAGTTTTGATTACTAGAAAGTCTGGCAAAGATCTACAGAATGAGAATATATATGTGTGTATGTATAGGCTATATGGAATTCATGAACAATTGAGCTTTATATAATTTGTCAAGCTACATAACGAACCAAAAGACAGCACTACAGAGGCGAAAGATACAGATACTTTATGTTGTGTGAGAGCGAGTGTATGACTATGTGTGTATATAAATATATATATATGTATATATGTATTTGTGTACGCTTTTGCAATGAGCATTTCGCAGTCAAGGTCAAGTAAAACATTTGGCTTCCTTTTTATTATTTCTTGCGCTGCTTTTCGGTTTCCCTTTTCAACGCTTGCACGTGCTTCTGTATCTGTATCTGCATCTGTATCTGTGGCTGCAGTCGTATCTGTATCTTTTGCGCGTATCTAACAGCTAAGCATGCGCAGTGGAGGCCAGACGAGGATGTCGACTGTCTGCCGTCTGTCGTCTGCTGTTCACTTGATCAAGCACAAGTACAGCGCCGAGGGCATTTTGGCTTTATTGTTGCTTGGGTTTTTTTTGCGGTTATTCTTGCTCTGCTCTGCTCGAACTGAGAACTGAATGCCATGTGTGTGCTGGCTGCTTGTTTTGGTTGGTTTAGCTCGGCTGTTTGGGTGTCTGCCCAGACAAGGAATTCCAATTTCTTTTTCACTTTGCCTCGGCTGCGAAACCTGCTTACCCAAAAACGAGCGAAACTCAACTAAATGCGACTTGTTTTGAGGAGAAGGCGCAAATAACCAGCAGACATAAGACTCATTAGAGGCCAGCCAGCAGCTAGTTGCACCACCGATTTCCCTTGGCGGATGCTGCAATTCAAACATATGGATATATCTATAATCTGCTAACCCATTTCACGCAAACTTTCTTGCATATATACGTCATAGATCAACTAAGACTTTCGGCTTCTTTGCTTTTACTTGGAAGATATTTCAGGTACTCCAATAAGTCTTTCCGAATTTGGCTTCGAGTCGAAAAACATTTCCGTTTTCGTAGCCTTATATCTGGCTTTTAGGGTTCTCTTGTAGTATGCATTTTAAGAGCAAACCGCTTTATATTTATTTCATAATTGCACATTTTTGGTAAGAAGAGCCAATGGCAATGGAATTTTTCATGTTGCCGCCACTAAAAACAGCGCAAAGACTAAACGCAACAACTTTTGGGGGCTGTTCCCAGCTACTCGATGTGAATTTTAAGCAGTTTTCGCTTTTATGAAACTAATTAAATTTGCTGCTTATATTGGGATCAGTGAAGAAGAGAAGCGTACTTAGTATATCTCGCAGTTTTCTCGATGAATAAGGAATATACTCTTTGGTCTTTTTCTATATTATATAAAACGAATTCAGTTCGCTCGCCAGGTGGGAAAAATATATAATATAAAATGCATGCATTAAGAAGACAAATTGAGAAAATTAACGTATGTCCGAATGAAAGTCATTTAAAGTATATTCAAGTAATGCCCAGCAATTGGAGAGAACTTTCGAGATATTTTATTGTTCGAATATCTCAAATTCATACAAACATAAATCGACAGACAGACAAGCTGACCCAACACGAGTCAAGTTCGTGGCTCCAGGCAGGCAGAAAGCACGGAGAACCCAGCCCGCCTGGGCTGCAGGCAACGCCAGAGCAGGAGACTGAGAGACTGGGAGACTGAGTCAGAGCAGCCAGGCCAGGCCAGGTGGGGGGCGAGAGCCGGTTGCGGTTCGAGCCAAGTGCAGCGCAAATGGATGGATGGACATGGACGCTCGCACTTATTAATGCTTAATAAATGGCATTTCATTTCTCATTATTGTTGGACTGGGCGCGACGTGGATATGTCCGAAGATTTTATTGCAACTGCGGCTGCGGTTCGCATTGTGGTTGTTGTTGTTAATGCGAGTCGATATATTGGTCATGACTAAGGATGCACACATACACCCATATACATATATACATATATATAACATGCAGTCAGTCAGTCAGTCACTCAACGTGTGCTAAAGTAATTATTTCATTTGAGCCAACAATGAGGCTGCAAGTCCGTTCGAGCGCTTTGAGCGACTGTTGCCGTGAGATGGACATGAAAATTAAAGAAGCTGGCTGGCATCAGAACCGGGCATTGGTCTGCGAACCGCCTCATGATAAACGCTTTCAGTGCTTTTAACGACTCAACTTTGGCGTTGCCAGCCCATTTGTAAAGTACTCGCGAATGTAAATGAAGCGGGTGTCTGTCGCGCCTGCACTTCGCTACGGCTGCTCAAAATGTTGTATTTCGAGGTCTTCTGGGTCATTGCACCTCACTTCAATGGACTGGTCATGGCCACAGTTTTACAGCTGCTATATATGAGCTACTGCTGAGCACATATGTATGTATGTGAGTGGTAAATATTCTGATTTTATTATATTTAGTAAAATGAATTATTATTTAATATTGTATTTTTGTATTTTCGCATATGGTCTAGTAATCTATATGGTCACTTTTAAATAGTTTTTCGTTCGCGCCAAAGTATCATCCAAACTTGTTATCGACCGCTGTCACAATCGATAACTAGTCATGCGCGCTGCTGGTGAGTCAAATAGTTCGTTTTGAATTTGAGCAAGTTCTTTTGGCCGTGAACTTCTTCAATAGTATTATTTTTGGTACGCAGAAAACGTTTAAATATGCTTAGTTTACATTAATAATCACTAGCATATTTTTTAAAAATAATTTTTTAATTATATGCTTTGACAAAATGATGAAATAAAACATATAGAGTAAATTTAAACCAAGCAACTTGAACTGGTTCAGCTCTTTGCTATAATTTGCTCTCTTTCTCTCTCTGAGCACATAAATCAATGTGACCGAACAAAGTAAAAGAATTTCTGTGCAAAAATCGAAGACGCTTCGTGGAGAACCAAACAAAAACGCAAAACAAAGTTAAACTAATGTAAGATTAAATGCAAAGCAGTGTTTACCCATTGAAATTATACTAATGGCATTTACAGATGCAAACGGCAAGCTCAACTACAGCAGCAGCTGTAGGTGGGGCAGGCGGCGAGCCCATGGCAGCACCGCTGCGCGCATGTAGTACGAGCGGCTGTCGGGTGAGCAAGTATGTCGAAGTGACCAAGCGCAAGTGCTCGCAGTTTGTTTCCGCACCATACATTATGCCCAAGCCCTTGGTGGTCAATGGCAAGACATCGATTTTCCAAGTGGGCGGCGAAATGGCCAAAATGGGCGACATACCCTCGCTGGCTGCTGCAGCGGGCACTGGTGAGGGCCAACCCATCTATCGGATTAAGCCAGGCACCCATGCACATGTCATCAACTATGTGTTCATAGACGAGGGCTCTGACTCCATGGAGAAGGCCAAGTCGGAAGATCAAGAGGCCATGCGAATGCTGCTCGACTCGCAGCGTGAGAGCGCTACAGCAAAGCTGCAGAAATTGCTCTCCACACATCGCGGACTGGCGCTGCTATCTGCGGCAACAACAACCACTGCTCCAGATGCACCTGCTGCTACTGTTGCTCCAGCTGCTGTCAATGTGGTGTCCACCGCAGCTGCTGTGTCACCGGCAGGAGTGGCCAACAACGTGCACGTGACTACTCCGCAAATTCATCCCAACTTGTCCATTGCCAGTGTGGAGGGCGCTGCCTTGCCATTTGCACCCACAGCAGTACCGAGCCTTACATCAATATCCACACCCACACTGATGCCGACTTCTGTCCAAGCGCCCACGCCCGCGCCTACTCCTGCTTCCACTTCGGTTGCAGCAGCACCTCCACCAAACACAAAGCCAACGGACACCAGCGTTGACCAGCTACAGGCCGAGATCCTCAAGCTGCGTCGCACTGTGGCACGCCTCGGCGGAGGTCGCGCTCCCAAGTGACTTGAACATATGTAGAATAATTTGCTTATAGGTAGCAGGAACGTTAGCATAAATGACACTTATCCATAGGTAGCCATCGAATACTCTTTGACCATAGTCTAGGACCTCCTCTGTTAATAAACATGAACGCATTTAGCATTAACAAAACTGAAGTAATCTATATGGAGCTAGGGATCTATGCACTCAAACAATGTATGTATCTATATTTCGAGTTATCCGAGCGGCAGACTGAATTTAATTTTTATGGGTTTCAGCTCTTTTTCTCCTTTACTTGTTCTTTTTCTCTCTTTTTAATGAAACTGAAATGGATAAGCCGGCTTTGGCTCTTTGGAGCGTCGCTCAGATTTTTGCCATACACGAGTTGAATCTTAAGGAGTCGTAAATGTGGAATTTTATGTGTCATCTGCGACGGCGGCGCTGTCCACTGCAAGGCGAAAACTTCGCAATCGAACGTAAATTACATTTTATGATGCCAAAAGGGTGAGACGTCGAGTGCAACAGCAACTGGCCACACAACAGCAGCAGCAGCAACAACAACAACAACTGCAACATGTGGCATGCAATTGCAAAATGTAAATAGAAATTGAGTGAGAGCTGCTTCTAGAGGGACTACTATCTGATTCTTGCATAAATGCAGAATGTCGTTTCAGAGCACTCAGTGTCAAGATCAGGTCGCGATTGAGCTTGAGGGTAGCCAATGGATGCACGTTGATCATCTCCCTCTCTCTCTCGCTCTGCTTGCCTGGCATAAAAAGTAACGAATGTGCGCAATAATAAAAATCATTAAAATAAAAATGTTTATGAGAGTGCATAAACACGACTTTATAGGGCAGAGGCAGCGGGGGCCAGACTGGAGCACTTGATGGCCGCGTCCCAGGCCCAGGCCCAATCCCAGGTCCAAGCAATACTGCCACTTGAAGGGAGGCGGCGCGGGAGTGTCAATGCAGGCAAAAGTATCTGCGCATTTGTTTCGCTCGGCACTCAGCAAAAGTCACACACACACACGCACACATTGGGATTGGGATTGGGATGCTAACTCATTTTGGCGGCTGTGGCTGCTGCTGCTGCTGCTTTTGCTGTTGCTGTTGCTGCCTGCGACGCCAGTTGCGAGTCGTACCTGTGACGAGGCAACTCGAGGCATCTCGAGGCAACTCGCAGGCGCAGGCGCTCAGCTCAAAAATAATTTGCAATTTCTGAGAAATACTCACATTTGCGCTGCCTTGCGCTGACTTTATGCGCTGCCGGTTGCCATCGCCGTCGCCGTCGCCGACGTCGTCGTCGTCGTCTCAAGAACCTACCAATGCGACGGTGTGGCCGTAATGAAAATTAAAATACGAAACACTCAGGCAAAAGGTCGGCAAGGAGCCAATGAGCAGGCGCAACTGCCGCCGCGACTGCCCCGCCGGACGCGGCTCCCCTCAGCTGTCGTCCGGTCGCTTGGTCGGATTGCTTGTCGTTATCTTGTCATGTCAAAATGGTCTTACGAAAATGTATCTTTTGTATTCCAAGTGCAAATGAGCAGCACAGATACAAAACAACATGCCCCGCGTATACCCAAGCCCTGGCCAAGCCCTCCATCCTCCTCCCGTCGTCGTCCCTCCTCGCTGCCTTGTTTCCTTTTATTTGTTTGCTCACTCGCAATTTTTATGCCTTTATTGTGTTTACTCTTTGCCTTCGTTTCTGCAAATGCTTTTAAGACTTTAAGACTTTTTAGTTTGTAGTTGAGCGTACAAATTTGTATCCCTCTCCCTCTGCCTTTGCCCTGGCCATGCCCGCACAGAAGCCCCAGGAACAGGATTGACCACTCCGAGCACCGAATGTATCTGTATCTTCTTCTTGGGTTCTCTCTTCCCAGCAACTCCACGAGCCGGAGACGGCGAGCTGGGAGCTGGGAGCTGCTGATGCTGATGCTGATGCTGACGATGATGATGACACAACATGAAATGGTAAAACACGCTGAAAAATATTAAATACGCTACGTCGCTGCCTTTTGACAGCGGACGTAAATTTGCTTTTGCCCGTGCCCCTTGCCTCGTACCCCCTCCGTCCAGCAGCCCGTCCCGTTCCTTCCCGCTGCCACTCTGCGCCAGGGTTCGGCAACTCTGGTTTAATTGCACATAAGCTTGGTCCTCGGTCGGTGTGCTGGACCGAAGGCACCAACTGTGATTGTGAGGATCTCTCGGCAATTAAAATAGAGTGTAAGTTAAGGATGCATAAAACGCTGATCTTTATATGTACAGCACTCCGACGCATTATTGTCATTGGATATGGCTGCTATAGAGCCCGACCTAGGGCCAGCTTAATGCATTCCTGGAAGCTTGGATCGATCACATATTGAGTGCGATACGATATCGCAGAAGGGCAACTTTACATACATATATGCAATACATGTATACTATTATGTATATATGCATGTATGTCTAGGTGATATATGTATATAGCTGAGAAGTTGTCAATCGATCGATTTGATTGATTTTATGCGACTTTCATAATATAATGAAGAAATCGTACACAATTTAATTGAAGTGAATAAATAAATATAGTGAATTTAAAATAGTCATCGCTGCTCCGTAAGTTTATGAAACTTCTTTAAGCTCAGTAGATAACTTATTAGGTGAAACTCTGTACTTTCTCACGTAAATCAATATTATTTTTAAAGAATTTCATCTTAATATCTACTGATCAAAAATACAGAAAACCTTAAGTTATAATTATCAAATAGCCTCATTGCTTAGCATTTCCGGAGGGCTTTTGGTTTTTATTGAAATATACATACACATGTATATTGCTCAGGCTCGATATAACAACTGCTAAAAATATATATACTTAAAGAGATTAAACACTATGAAATGGATTCATGGAATCATGGTAAATATTATTAGGAGTAACTATTGTGAAAGTAAATGCCAATCGGGAATAATTTGACTCCAAGTCTTTCCTATGTGAATGTTTTACAGATCTATGCGGAATCAGCTAAGACCAAAAAGCTGATTTTAAAATGATTCGCAGATTTGCAATCTGTCAAAGACTTCCCATAAAAAACATTTGGGATGCAAACATTTTAAATGTTTAGCAATTTGATTATAACGCCCAAACATCCCCTGAGCGACTGCTTCCCAGCCGATCTGTGTATGCAAATATACTCAGCACTATTCTACCCAGAACTGACATTTCCAATGGCCTTAGGCTATAATAAAGGATTTATCCAAAGCTGAAGCAACTCCGAATTGAAATCCGAGTGAAATGTGTCAAAATTTTGAGAGCAAACAATGAATTTAATTAAATCTTGCAATGTGTCGCACAGCAGTAAAAAATTGTTGAAGTCAAATTAAATCTTGCATATCGCCGGCAACAACTCAGATTTGGAGACTGGGGCGAACGGCAGCCGCACTGACATAGATACACAAATACATGCATGTGCGCATACCTACATTCGTACATACCTACATTCATGCATGCTGCATGCGAGATTTTGTTTAGACACAAAGCAGATTGGAGATCAAAGCCCAGAGCTGGGGGCAGTGTTGCCGTTTCCTGTGGCGCGTCACAATAACAGCGATCCAAAGACAACAACAACAAGTCAAACACACACAAGCACACACACGCACGCACACATACACAAACAACATGAAGTTGACTTTGGCGTCCTACCGCATTCTAAGTTCTATTGGCACAAAGACCGACTTTTGCGTTGCGGTCTTTCGGGTTTGCATGCGAAGTGTCTGCGTATCTGTTAGATACGGGATACAGATGCAGCTTGAGCGCTGGCAGCGAAACTCGTTTTCTTGCATAGGACAAACAAACACACACGCAGCCAGACACATCACACAAACACACACACACACACACACACACATACATCACTTTGGCTTCCCTTTGGACTGACTGCGCGAGTAGCTCCCATTCTCAGGCCTTCTGCTACGAGTATCTCTCTGTGTGTGTGTGTGTGTTTGTGTGCGTTTGCATGTGTGTGGTATTTGTGGAGTGTCTGTCTGCATGTGTGTGTGTGTGTGTGTGTGTGTGTAGCGCCCTCGCGGCATAGTTTGCATTTTCAAGGTCGCATGCTGACGCTTCTCTTCAGCCGCTGCCGCTGCTGCTTCTGCTGCTGCCACAACTTCTTCTGCAGAATTTCGGCGACTGTGCTGCCGTTTCTCAGGGTCTAACGACGCCAGCTTTGCGATCATCCAGTGATATTGTAATCTGCTGCCAGGTAATCTGTCGCTTGCCCTCAAAATATACCCTATAGCCACGGCCTAAGCCCATTACAAGGCTCGCTGGTGACAGTACATCCAATTCAACATATAAAGTATAATTTTTACGAGTGCAGCCGGCTTAAGGAACGAGCACTGAAATCGCAAAGATATGTAGTTGCCCAGTCACAGTTGGAGCCTTAAGTGACTGTGCGAGTGTGTGTGTGTGTGTGTGTGTGTGTGTGTGTGTGTGTGTATGTTTATTGGTGCAACATTTCGCGCTGCAAGTTCTTTTGAACTTCAGTGCCCCGCTCTGCACTTCCCATTGTCCCTGGAGTTATTTCCTTTACGTGACTCTGCGCTGAGTCATCCAAAGGGGACGAGGAGGAGCAGAAGAGTTCGGCCTACCAAAATCCTGTGGATCCGATGGTGGCTCATTGCCAGAGCAGCGAGCTCCCAAGTCCTCGCCCTTGATTCATCAGCAGCGCAAACAATGACTCAACCTAATTGCCCGCAACAGCCCGTGATGCATCACTAGCTAAACGAATTACTAACTATGTAAGTCATGCATTGTCGAGCTGAGCTGAAGCCATGCGGTGGTGCAAGCGCCAAGTGAAAAGCTGCGAACTACTTACTTTTGAGGTGACCAGCGTCAGAGTAGGCGAGGAACCCTGAAAATTTAATGAAAGATGCATAAGTTAAAGTGGATAATTTGCAGTATCTCTCATACTAAGAGATCTTATATAATATTGTCATAATGATAAGGTAGATTTTATTGATTATCACACTTCAAATATCTAAGTATAATGTAAGAAATTACTTACAATATAAATTCCACTTTCGTATGTCTCATATAGTGCTCTGGAAAGAAGTCTTTACTTTTACCAGAACGAGGTTAAATTGAACTGAAACAATGCTCTGCTCGGAGAGCAACACATGTTGAGTAATCTGAGTTAT